CCCACACAGGTAGCCAGGTGATCAATCCCCACACAGGTAGACAGGTGAACTAACTTCCCACAGAGAAGAGCTCAGGATCCAACCCCGCTTCTTCTCACAACACATCCTCAATAGCTTTATCCATCTCTGCCCCACTTAGAAGTGGCTTGTTTTCCTGGTGTGTGTGTGTGTGTGTGTGTGTGTGTGTGAGTTATCTAACGCTGCCCACTGGCATGAATGCCTCTTGTTGAGGCGCTGCCCTCCTGACACCTCCTGACACACCATACAGATTAGCCGATGGGCACACCAACCGCTCTGGAGAAGGAAACGCCGTCTCACCCGCCTGCCAACACAACCAATCAAAGGAGCACGTTTGCCAGTTGAATAATCCAAAAACCGTGTTTCACAATTCAAACGAGCCTTCAGAAAACTGAAATTCAAAGAGATTTTCATACAAGTAGAAGAAGTGAAGGAGTGAGCAACAGCAGGACGCCTGCATGTGCATCAGTGTGATGTGAGAAGCTGCAGGGTCCAGCCTGTAGCAGCTGCTTGGTTCTGCTCACAACATTCAAGCTGCATGGATGTGATGCAGGAACGCTGAACAAAAGTATAGTTTCACATTTTGGGAAATATTCTTGTCTTCTTTCTACTGCATTAGTCTCGCTAGTGTAGAGCAAATATGCAGCCAGCTAGCTTAGCTTAGCATAAACACTACAGGAGATCTTGTTACCACTCTTAATGCTAAGCTAAGTTTAGCTTTACTTTTAGCATTCAGACATAAGAGCGGTATGAATCTTTTCTTCTACCTCTTCTCAAGAAAGCATAAAATCATATTTCCCACAAAGTCCAGCTGTTCCTTTAAGGCGTGCACTGGCTTCCTCCACGTGACAGCTTATTTTACTGCTTAATTAATTAGCTGAAGCAACGTACACTATGTTTGCGGGCTAATTATTGCACCCCTGATGATGATGGTTTAAAAAACACCCAAATAAATGTCTTTGAGGAAAACTGATGGTGAAACTAAAGCAGGACACACCGAACCGTTAAAGGCAGAATCTGCATTTCCTGAAGAAAGGCTGTCGATATTCAGCCAGCCTCGGTCGTCTGAGCCACCTTCTGTTTGAGGAGATCAACAGAATTAGTTTTAGAGCACACGCACCAGGCGGCGTGATGTTTGCTGCATCTGACAGGAAGCACTGGACAAGAACTGCATCCTCCACCTCTAGTATCCGTAGAGTTCTACATGCACGCACCAGCATTGTCAGAGAGTTCAACGGTGTTTAATCTAAAGCATGTTGAGCGGCTTCTCCTCCTGTCATGCACCAACACACACTCCTCTCTATCTCCAAACACCTCAGCAGCTCCGTGCAGAGCGGTGAGGACGTACTGAGCGTGTCTCAGCAGATTGTGAACACGCTATACATCTGTATGCAAGTGTGCGTGTGTGTGCGCAACCATGTTTATGCTCCGTGTGAGTGTGTGTTGGTGGTCCTGAGGACAGCTCAGTCTTGGGTAGTGTAGTGTTTCAGATCAGTCCGGCAGCCTGCCAGTCCTGCATAAATACACCACGCTTCTATTTACATCAATGACTTTCACACAGTGGGCCAAAGCACAGACCTATACGCTGGAACGAGGACAGAACAAGTGTTTAGTGTCTGTACGACGTGCACATCAGCCAACGTCCAACACAATGACTGGTGCAGATGAATGCATGCCGCACCGCAGCAGTCAGTGGAGTCCTCAATCCTCCCCTCCAGCCCCGTGTTTTAATCTTCACTCTTTTCTTACTTTGTTGTAATGACTTGCCAGCCAGACACTTTTTCTGAAATTCCTCCCTCCATCCTTGCTTGCAGCAGAGAGGTGAAACAAGGACAAGGCCTTAATTGGATGCTGCAGTCTCTGCGGAAATAGTGCGTTGAGCTGAAGATGCCAAGAGAGTGGGTGATGTGTGCTTCACAGTAACATGAAACAGCAGTAAGATAAACCTAAAAGACAGAAGCAGGGAATCCTAAAAGCCTGCTACACGAGCAGTCCATGTTTCTGGCACCAGACGTACGAGCTGTTCCCTCACATAGTGTCTAAAACAAGGGTGTTGTACGAAAACGGTAAGAAACCTGCTTCTGGGGATCGATGAGTGAAACTGAACCACTACATGTGATGTTAACCCCAGAAGAACCACTACTATCTTCATAAGCAGTTCATGGTGTCATCCAGGGTTGTTCAGCTGACTATAGGTGTGTCTGCATCTGATTTTTACTGAGGATCACAGACGGTGATGACAAACCAACATTCATTCAAGTCCAAAGCAGTCCAGACCGGACAGTCGTCCTGTGAGCCTGGTGGGAGGAACGGCATTGTTGTCCTGCAATCAGTGGCATCAGTGTGACTCCTGAACTTGTGATTACACCACAAATGTCACATCTCTGGTGATTGAGCCGACACCATCCGAGGCAGACAGCTCACACAGCGCGTCCATATTTATTTCTGACTCACACATATTCTTCATTTACACCAGTTGTAGAAACTGTGCGCTGGAGGAAAACGGAGCGCTTTGTGTGTCTGTGATTCAGGAGCTGAGCGCTAACGTCCAGCGCGTCAACAAAGCCGACAAACAACAGCAAAAAGGGAAATAAGCAGCTTTATGACCACATTCGGTCTCTGAATGACCTCCAGCTACACGGTGCCTTCAACCAACCACTTACTGATGGACAGAACATCAGTAGAGCTCTACATGGAAAACGTCACACCTCATAACGCAGGTCTGGGCTGCGTCCAGGCCGCCTGCTGCCTGGACTTTGAGAAGCTCTTGTGTAATCGCCGTTACTCCAGGGAGGAAGAGGACGACAGGCTACGAAGAGAGAGCACAGGTCTTCAATGGGTGTTATTAGATGTACCACTGCCTTGCCTTCATGTATACGTGTGTGTGTGTGTGTGTGTGTGTGTGTGTGTGTGTGTGTGTGTGTGTTACTCGCTGGCCTGCTGACGTGAGCTTTCATGCATGAGGACCTTTTCTCATTACCCACTCTCCAAGCCCTTCT